CAAAGTGGAAATAAAATAAGTATAAAGCATTAAAGTTTTTTGAAATTTTAAATTGTTAATTCTTATTGTATGATTTGTAATACTTTTACGTCATTTTCAAATAATAGAGGTCATTTCTTCTTTCTCAATTTATGTAGTACTAAAAAATATTTGAGATTCAATCAATTTTTTTTGTCTTTGAAATATTTCTAGCTGTTAATTACTGTAATTTATAGTACTTTCTAAGAAATTTTCAAATAATATATATTATTTCAATTGTCCCATTTTTTGTGTCACCGGTAAAATTTGAAGAGTCAATCAGATCTTTTATATATTTTTATATCTTTTAAATATTTAAGTAATTAATTATCGTGATTTATAATATTTTATACAATTATTTAAAAAAATTAAACAACAAACAAAACGAATTCATCATAGGAAATTACCAAAGCATCCTTGAATACATCAATAATGGGTCCCACTTTTTATTTTTAAGAAATTGTATATTCGAAGGATATTTTTGTCCAAAGTGGAAATATTGTGTAAAAAATGTGTATTTTGTTGTGATTTTGAATGTTTTGTGGGGTAATAGGACGCACGCAAAGTTAAGGTGTCTTTTTGAAAATCTGGGACAACTTCAAGTATCACTTAATGTTTTTTCTCAAAATCTAATTTACTTTCGTAAACTATGTGTCAGATCAAAATCAAATTAACAAATTCAAAGAAATGAGTAATAAATAGCTCATACAATGACATATTTATTATTTAAAAGAAGTACTCCTTTTGGTTGAAAGCTAACAAGATAGTTACAATGCAACTAAATACTATAAAAATCTTTCCATTGTAGCTTATTATATATAGATATATATATTGCTAAATTTTATGAGCATTTTTTCATATTTTTCAGTTATACACATAATAGAATTTTTGACATATCTTAGAAATGTATAGGTTTTATTGAAAAGTCAAATGTTCATGTCCATGTACATGTAGGATATGAGTTGTACAACTAACATGATCATCTTCTTTATTATTTTTGACATATTAGCATTTATAAGTTAGAAGAGCTTGCATAATTTAAGTAACTCTTCCGTATTGCTAATTATACATGCTTAGTTAGAAATATTTAAATGTGAGATGAAAATAGATGGAAGAGATAACATAACATATAGAGATGCTATATTCTGAAAAGTACAGCTAATACTGTAGCTCTTGATCTATGAATAAAATTTTGTTATATTTGGCAAACTGAGATTTTTTGCCTTCTTAATTGATTAAGTGTAGTGCTATTTTTGTGGAATTATCATAAGCGGAGATTAAATAATAACATTCAAATTGGTTGGAAGCGAAGAAGAAGAAGAAGAAAAGGAATTGTAGAATGTGCTACGCATTACAAATTTGTAATGATATAAACACTAACATTACCGTCATTGAATCGTGAAAATTATCATATTTGATCCAGAAATTCAGGATCAGAGAAGGTAGTGTCTTTCATATATATTTAAATCATTGTTATTTAATTCTAAAACGTAAATATTATTTATGTAGTTAATAAAATATATATTGTTGGTGTGACATTTTAATATTAATAAAAATATATTATATGTCACATTATGTATCATGTAATGTCCATTGGTGGACATTACATTTGTGCCTCTTTACTCTCATCTATGGTAGAAGAAAGTGGTCATTAGTTGTTAGTAACTTATGTAACCACCAACTCTTTATTTCACCCATTATTCTATCTTTATATCCTGTAACATTTGGGTCAGTCATTTGGCAAATTTACTACCCACTATCTTCATATATATTGCAGGGAAGAATTCATCACCTATAAATAGTGTGGCTTTCCTTTGTGTTGAGAAGAAGAAACAACAAGAGATGTACAAGAAAAGATAGAGTGAAAAAGATGAGTGGTATTATATTGAGGTAAGTGCAGTAAAAGAGAGAGTTGAGACATAGAAAATATTCTAAGTCTTCAACTATATTCACTATACAAAAGAGAGCATTTATATGTTGAAGAAGGTGTTCTTTTTGTGGAGTTTTGGACTCTTCAACTAATCTGGAGTTGCTTGAGTTGTACACGTTGTTGGGTTGTTGTATCCCGGAGGGGACAGTCAAGAGATATATTGTTGGATCGGTGTAGATTATGTCACAGTGGGCTTGAATCTCTTTAAAGAGAGCGAGATATCCGTGCCTCAACCTAAAGATTGTTTATTCATTTTTGTCATTTTATTTTCAACTGTAATATTTTGTATTTGTGGTATATTACACCAACATAGAAGAAAAAACTTTGGTTCCTGATGGAACTCTGTTAGAGCCTTTTGTTTTCATAGAAATAATTTTTTCTTCTTTTTTGGATGTATCATCCTTTTGTATTGCTTGGCTTTTACCTATGTCCGAAGACTCCGATTTCGGCATATCCATGCTTACCGATGAGATGTTTTTGGCACTAGGTGCTAGTGAGACATCTCCTGCCACTTTTTTGTATATATATATATTATAATTCAATTTTTCAATTATTCAGTTTTATTTTTCTAAATTCAAAACCAAACAAAGAAAATCCTTAATCTAAATCAAATCAAAAAACTAATCCAAATAAAAATTCAATTTGATTTAAATTTCGATTTAAGTGCACATCTCTACGTGCTACTGGTACTTCTTTGGACATTGTTGCAATAGAGTAAATGTTTCACACTACATTTATATTATTTTGTGAATATAATTTTGAACTAACTATTATGGAAAAAATAGCTTAAATAACACCTAAACTATGACCGAATTTGCAACAACACACTCATATTTTGGTGTGACACAAGCCAAAACTCAATTATAAAATAATACAGTAATTAATAAAATTAAAGTTCAAGAGATATACCACACTAATCAAAAGTATAATTACTATCCTCTTCAGATCTTCTTTAGTTTGTTTTTAACTATATTTGTATCACTGTCGACTTTATTTATATGGACTAAAAGCTTAAATATATACTTAAAGAGCATAATTTACTTCATACCAAGTGAGTAGTGTATATTCAAGACAAAAGGTTGAACATTACAACTGTGATACAAGAAAGAACATTACAAAGATGCAACAGATCCAAGAATCCTCCACCTGAGGGGACAGCATGGATCAAAGCAATCCACTAGATGAAGCCAACTTTAGATCAACAAAATTAAGGAGTACAAATATTGTGCTGGTTACATGCTTATTATACTTAAAACATATTTATGTATCCCATAGCTCCATAGAACAACAACTAGAGAACTCTAAAGAGGCATAGGATCTTCCAAGCTAGTTTAGAAGTTAGTTGTCAGGCTCCATATGATTCAAGTGGAAGGCACCTTCATTATTGTGCTGCACTTGAACTTTGAACTTCTCTTCCTTCCCTCCCCTGCTGGTTTTGATGACCAAATGAAGCTTTGTATGATCATCAGCCATCTATTAAAAAGCAAATCCAATAGTTACTTCAAAAATATGGTATACAGAATTGGTGTGGATTTTCTGATCATATGCAAGTTACCCACATAACAACCCAATGACTGGCAAGGAAGGCAAGCACGAAAAAGGAGCATACCTCAGCATTAGCATGAACAATCTCTTGTAGTTCATATGGAAGTAGGGAGTTGGATCTCTGCTGGATGGTCTTTATTGCATGCTCTGCAGCTTCTTCAACAACCGGATCATGCACAGGCACTGATTTCAATCCACTGGTCTGCTCTACTAAATAATTTAAAAGAGAAAGACCATCAATAGCAATATTTATTTCTAAGAGAATTAAGTATTACTTTCTAGGAATTTGGGGATCGAGTTAAAGCCTATTCACTCTTTTTGAGAGAACATTCTCCACCGGAAGAACTAGGCGAAACTTCTTGCAATTCAAAGAAGACAAACAGAATACCAGACAAAGGAGGTCATATTCACAAATTAATAGCCACACGCACATAAAGCAGAGACCTGAAGCAGATAAATACCCCTACATAATTACAACCTCGACACAAACCTATACGATCTGACCATTTCCTCAAAAGAACATTGTCCATTATTCAGTTGATTGATGACAACTCCAAGCTGTTGATTAGATTGAACAGAACACTACTAATTCACATTAACATCAATAAGAGAGCTACCTTGCTTAACTCCTAGATCAGAAGAAGTAAAGGTAGGAACATCTTCAACATGCTTGAACTCTTGAAGTTCCTTAAAATTCAACCATGGTTTGACCCAGACCTTAGCCTCGTAGAGTTTCTTTTTTCCAGCATCCATGACCTCAAGAGTGAGGTGGTGCAGTTTACCAGCAACAGTTTGTTCTTGCGCCTTCACTACTCTGGCCAATTCAATCATTGCATTCTGAAAAAAAATAAAGACAGTTGAAATCTACATTACTCTCATGCTGTAAAAAGATACTTATGATAAGCCTATAATCAATATCAAAGATACAAACAGAATGATTGTACCAAAGTGAAGTCTATTATCAAAAAGTGTCCAAGGAAAAAAGGGAAACTGAGAAAACAGAGCTTTTGTCCATTGTCATAAACACATATAACAAAGTGGGTAAATGGAAGGTGAACACTGGTATTGATTGTTCTTGACAGAGAGGACAAATAAGATGGTTTTCTGTTGTTCTCTCTAGTATATTCATTATGTATTGTTACTACTAGGAAATATTTAATGTACTTCATTGAAGAAAAAGCTCTAGAGAAAGAAATATTAGTTTAACTTAACAAATAAACAATGACCGAGTCTGTGTAGTTTTAGTTTTAATTAATGTTTTAGAAATCTCCAAGCCCATTCAAGTTAGAAAAATCATTAAGCAGCCCAGGTATATTAGTCTATCCGCCTGTGTATTTATTATATTTGTACTCACTTTGCAGGTGGACAGCGGCATCATTAACTAATTTCTTGAACAGATCGACTAGATTGGATTGATTGATCAAACGTTCGTTACTTATTCATGACTGTTCGTGGTCATTTGAAGTAGCGTGTGAATTGGAAACACAGTCAATAAACCATCTATCCCGACTAATTGGGTTTGCTACCACTCAGAATTTTAACTAAAATATGTAGAAGAAAACTCATGAAGAATCCAAGGGGTTCAACATCTACTATAACCTCGTATACACCTCGTACTTTTGCACCCGAGGGGTGGGGGGTGGGAAGCCCTTTAATAGATGGATCCACCACACCACCATCCTTCTACTGTGGAAACATCTCTAAATTGTTCTGCAATCAGAGGCTTCTTCCAGTGTAAGAGAGAGAAGGGAAACAGCAAGATGGTGGAAATCACAATTTCAAGTCTTCCGTCATCTATTTTAGAAAGCATGTTAAATGTTGTTGGCAAAAGGATCAAGAAGGTTGCTACTGAGCATTTCTTTAGTGTAATCGCTGCATACTTTTCCCTTTGTCCTTTCAGCAGTTTGATTACCGTACGCTCACGGACTTTATTTTAAACTAAAACCATTGTCATCTACACCGACCTGCATATCCAGGGACGATGTGATGGCATAGATATCATCTATAGCCCTTGTGCATCTGCTGATACAGTAGTCTAACTGCAGGTGCAAGGCGATCCGACATATAGTCTTGTCAAGACCTTTTCATCAGTTCTTACAACTGGAGGATAACAGCTATAGAACACAGAACGTCAATGTGTGGGGTATTGCTGCAACGGAATGGTTGCATGTGAAAGAAATTGACCATGCTACACTGATGCTTGGTACGTATAGATTTTAGTTACCGGGATAAACCTTATGATGGGTTGCCGCTCCTTAAACAAGGAGCCGATACTAATAGTCCAGGCAAAGTAAATTTTGGTGTAGGCCTGATAAGAATAGAGGACGACCCAGAGGAACCACACTACTGCCAGCATATAGGACAGAACAGATGCAGACTGAATATATGATCAAGCTGCATGGCATTTTCAAAGGGATGCTGGATCCATACTATTTCACTAAAATTTCTTTGACCACCCTTTGCAGACATAATGGACGTAACACAAACTAGGTGTACGCCATTGTTTACAACAATAAACTAGAAGTAACCCATGAAAACTGTGTGATAGATGTTGAAACTAGGAAACTGGTTGTTCCAGAAGGTTTTCTTTTAGTCGATTTATAACTAATAATATTCTTGATGTCATATGATCACTCATCCACAATGTTAATATTTCAAAAACTGTTTGTGGGTTCCTTTTTGTTTTATAATGGTATCGCATTGCGGCTCTATTAACAAGAGCAACCGGTACATAGGGGAGGAGACTCCTTGGATAGTTCACTTTTGATGATATTAGACCATCATCAATTGATTGTGCGTCCAAGGTATGGGCTAATTGTCTTGACCCCTACATTTATAAGCTTAAGAAACAACAAACCGGAAATGGAAATTGAAAATACAGTCTTTACAGGGAAAGGAGTTATGTATGTAAACAGATTTTTATCCCAAAATAGGTTAGAACCTAGTTTAAACCACAATTCTTGTTCTCTGGGTAGACAACCCGGCCTAACATCCGGAACAAATGAAGATCTAATCAACACCAGCATTGCGGCGGAGGAAGCAAGAGCATCATTGATTTCAATGCCATGCAGGCCAGATGTAATACCGACAAATAAATATAAAATCAGGAGAATAAAGTTGTAAATGCGTAATCATATCAAGAAGCCCTAAAGACATTTTAAGGGTTAAACCAAAGCTGAAGGCCAAGGGGAACCTTGAAACAAAAGTTCAAGGTTTCATTACGACGGAATATTCAAGTGATCCTGTATATGGTCTGACTTGGAACGAGCATATCTCCCAATATTGAAGGAGTTAAGAGGGCCTTCTACCTATCAAATTAAAGGTCTTTAGTCTACATTCCAACAATACAAACCGCTTGTCCATCCGAGCTCGAGACAAAAAATTACGTGTGTTTTATCACGGATCTACGCAACACCCAAGCGCATACATGACATGGACGCCATCCAAGAGTGAATGAATATGAAAAGGTGTGGTGTTGACAACCCCATTTCCATTAGGAAATGAAGAAAGATTGCAACAATATTTTAACTTAGTGGTGGAGACTACTTCATTATAAAGGCTCAACGTATATTTCAACACAAAATAATGGGGTTAGCAAGACATATTCATTGTGAGCTCGCTCTCTGTATATAGAGAAAGACACACACACCCAGTGGCCTTCAATTATCTTCACTAAACAGATAGCAAACTATACAAATATTCCTTCCTTCACTTCCACAGGTGTTGTCAACACCACACATTGCACTATTCATTCACCTTACAATGGGGTCCATGTCAAGTATCCGTGGTAAAACACACAACAGAAGATACTCGTTTTTTCAAAAAACTTTTAGCTTGTACACAAATACAAGAGACCCTTCATATATCAATGTGAATTCCTTTTTATAGTTTTTCATTTCACCAGGCCCGTGAAATGATTTGACTTCCAAAGTTCTAAATATTGTATTTTATTTTGAATTTCCTCTATCGGGCTTGTCAGAGGGAGAACTAGATTTGCGGTTTCACGTAGATATTATTAACCTTCTGTGAGCACTATATGTAAAGGAGTAAAAAATCTGTTAAACGCAGGTAATGGTCAAACAATCAGCCCGGTAGCGATGGCAAAACTCGTTGCCCTAATACAAAGGTTTGGCTAAAACAGGTAAGCGAATATGGTGTAGAGTAAAAAGATCATTAACACAGCTATGTAAAAACCTTACTACGAATGATCCGCGGAAAACGAGTAAGAAAATATACCTCCTTCTTATTGTGCTCATCGACGGCAAATTTAGCAAGGCTATGGATCTCGTCACTATTCTGCGACGAACCATGCGAATCATGAACTCCACCAAGAGTAGCCATCTCTTCGCTACAGAATCCTCCTGATTTTCCCTGTTCGCTTAACCCAAACGCAGAAAGCAGAAAAAGTATTAGTATTGCTCTACTTCGAATCACTCTCATCTGTTGTGATTTTCAATTCCTTCTTGTTAAGCAAATGCCCTTTTGTCCTTTATACTATTGCTTTCATCGAAAGACTCTTCCTTTATCTTTGTTGTTAAGATTTCTGCAAATGACTTTTTTGACTTGGGAAAGTGACCGACACGAAGATCGTTGCTTCGTGACACGTAGCCAACGCGTGTTAACTTATTCAGATATTTTTTTCATCCTGTATTATCCCTAACTAGTAAACTGAATCGCGCTTAACACGGTATATTATACAGTATTACTTAGAGTCGAGACTTGTTCTTTGTTAAACAAAATAATTACGGAAAAAAAATCTTAACATTAAATTGACACCAAGAGAAATCAAAAAAAAAAATTAAATGATATAATAATGGTGTAATATTTTTTTTAAAAGTTAAAAATTGAAATTAGCATACCAAAGCTTTTAATAAAGCATTATGCTCTCTCCTAATTAACATCAATTCAAACACAATGTAATTTATGAAATAAATTTATTATTATTTAAAGTAAGTCAAAAAAAACTAAATGGAATATATTGTTATGAAACTATAGAATAAGAAGAAGAAAGTAGAGAAAAGAGAAGACTTATTATTTCTCTTGGGGGATGATATTATATTGAAAAGGACCCCTCTATTTGTAGGGAAAATCTAACTTGATCCCTAAATAGGATTCCTAATCATATCCTAAAAGGACTCCACATAATAGGCATTCACTATAATACAAATACTTTATAACATATATAAAGTATTCACAGTTTATTAATCAAAATTCATACGCATAAAGAAATAGTGAATAACCTTATTTTGATGACCCGTAATAATCATATACAAAATTTCATTATTGACAACTAATTAAAATTCATTAAAAAAAGGTCCTATATTTCCATAAAACATTCATGATTCTAATAATTTCAAATAATTATAATTATCATCGAAAAAAATAAAATTCTCAACCTAAATAACTTATGGAGAAAGTACATTTAATTTTCAAATTCAAATATTTCAAGTTTTAATTATTTACATTTAATTTAGGTTCATACATTCCTATATAATTTTTCATCACTTAGGAGTTTTAAATATTTTAAAGTACTTGATTTTCGTATACTTTTGTTTTTGTTTTAAAAAAAGTAAAGAAAAAAATTAACAATTCAAAAAAAATAAAAAAAATTCTGTATATATTTCCAAAAATTATGATGTTTCTTTGTATATCTTTAATAAATCTAATTACATGTACATTTTTTAATACTTTTTGTCTTTATTTTTTCCTCACCCACCCGTTCCTTTTCTTTAAAAATTTGTCAAATATATGTTCTTACTTCTTTTTTTTGCAACTTCTTAATAATAAAGATAAGTAATCAAAAGATAATATTATATAGTTTCAACATAAGAAAATAAAACAAAATATTAAAATAGCACATAAAATATATTATAGAATATGAAGAGGTATAAATATTATACACATTAATTATTTCAAAAGGTTAGTGAGATTAATAAGAAAAGCAATTGGGTAAATAGCTACTACATACATAAAAAGAAAAGTTTTTTGATTTCTTAATTAGTAACACAACACAAATTTAAGATTTTCTCAAAATCAATATTTTGGTTTTACACCATAAGTCCACTTTACGCTTTACCATTAATTAAAATTAGAACTTCAACTCCTCTTTTTAGGAAAGTTCAAATTTCATTACTTTACTAATAGAAGATAGTAGTTGGAGTAAAAAGCTAAATCCATCTGCATCAAACAAAGAAATATAAGTTAGATCGTGTCTCTACTTTTAAATAATTGAATATCATAAGCAGTTTTCAAATTTCAAAAGATCTAATAAAAAAAAAGAGCACAATAAAATAAATAGAAGCAGAAAAATATTGTTTTTTTCAATTTAAAGGGTAAATATAATGACCTTTTAAAAATTATATTCAACACCACACGCTTCTTGGTGCAGATGCCATAACCTGAAAAATTTAGCAAATGTCAAGTAAAAAGCACTCATACATGAGATTCAAAAGTGTAATCTATTCACAGACAAATTTTGTCAATATAGAAATGAATATATTTAGATATGCTAGGAAGATGACACATACAAATAAGCCCAACTTAATATAATCCACACTAAATAGCAGTAAGAATTGTTGTGGTGAGGTAAAACTTTTGTTTTTTTATATCCTAATTTTGACATGGTAATGGACATTAAGACCGGAGAAATTGAAAAGCCAAAGGTCTGGCTACGTGGGTGCAGCAATTACTTGGGCTTTATTGGAAATTATTATTATGTGGGCTTACTGTTTTTTTTTTTTTTGTTAAAGGCTTTAATAACATAACATAACTGTTAGGCATTAACATTACCGTTAGTAAACATTTCTTTTGTTAGGTTTTTCTTAAACTATTTAATTAGTACAATATTATGGATTTAAAAAATGAGAAAAAAATAAATAGAAATGCTGGTCATAGAGAGGTGCCACATTACCTTCTTTATATTCAGCTTTATAATATATATATATATATATATATATAGATTGGAGCTCGACTAAATTTAGATTCGCAACAAAAAGTCTCACATTACGGATAAAATGTTACCTAACAAAGGGAATTCCGTATCCAAGAGCTCAAACCCGAAATCTTTTAATTAAGGATAACGAAATATTTACCACTATGTCACAACCCTAATAACTTATGAGATTCGTTTGTAAGTTTCGCATAATAGAAAAATTACGGCAAAATCGATGTTTAATCCATGGTTGATAGGCACATTTGAAATCTTATAAAATTTAAATTTACGTGGAAAAATATGCATTCTCTAATAAATTATTTGTCTCAATGAGTTTTTTTGGTTTGGATTATCAGTTGAATTTGTTTATATCCACAATTTTTAATCAATTCAATATTTAAGGTCGATTAAAATAATATTTTAAAATTCATTTAATTATTGATCGAATTTATGTGACATAATATAGTTAAATTGGATAAAAATATATGATTGCACACATTTAAAAGCAATTGAATAAAATATTTTTGTATTAAAAGGAACTTAAATAAGAGAAATAATACCTTTATCATGTCAATTTGTATGTCATACTTTTCTTTTTAATTTGATTAACAAAGGAATGTCTCTTTTCTTTTTTATGATTCTTTAATCAATTTTCCATATGACATGTTTAAGATCATACGATTAAAGAATGTTTTGGTACATTCGATATATTTTTAATTTAAAAATCAAAAAATTTAAAAGTCGTTTTTATTTTCTTTTTATTTTCTTAAATTTCATATCAAATCAAATAGAATAAACAAATTAAAACATGTAAACTATTATTAATTCACCCATAAACATGAATAATTTATCTCCAAATTAATTATTAATATTGAAATAAATTATCCCAAAAATTATAATCAAATAAATTTCATTTTATATTTGACCGAAAAACAATGAAGTAGGTTGGCAGATGGCAGGGTGAGGGGGGGATTTGGGGCTATGGGCTATGAGTTGGGTAGATGTAACATTAGGCTGGGCTTGGAGTGTTAACATGTTAGGTGAATTTTCATAAATAGCACAATTTATGCCCCAATAACAAATTGTGGCAATACAGTTTGTTTTTTTTTAAAAAAAAAAATTACCCTCCGTAGGAGCTCCCACCCCTTTTGCTCCTTGGTAACTCGAACTCGCGTGGCAATATAGTTGGATTTTCAAATACATAATAGTATTTTCAAAATATATCATATATACATACATTAGCATATATGTATGCATGCATGCATAATTATGCTCTTTAATTTGGCTTCGGTTGGTTTCTATACCCTCCAACTTTGAGTGTGTATTAGTAGACACTTAAACTTATATAAAATTGAACAAGTAGACGCACATGTCCTGTGGGGCATAATGCACGTAGGACGTCTTCTAGAACGAATGTGTCTATTTGTTCAATTTTATACAAGTTTAAGTGTTTACTTGTGCATACCCAAAATTGGAGGACATAAATGACAGCTGAAGCCTGAAGTCAAATTAAAGGGTATATTTATGTATCATGTCTACATATGTACGTACATACATACACATCTTTTCATGTTGACAAAACTACTTCATGGCTTTATCTTTAGGCTTAAATGCGTAACCAATTTTTTAAACTTGTTAAAATTTTCTATTTGAGGTTAATGTGTATAATTAAATTAAAGAAAATGACACATTTTATATGATTTCTTAACTAACTAATACATAAATGAAAAATACATACAATGTTTTTTCTTCAAATTTTGAATCGAAGTGTCTGATTGAACACTTTATTATCCTTCTAGAAGTTCTCCTCATATAAAAGAGAATGATTGAATTTCAGAGCTAAAAATTATAGTTCTTGAAATTCATTTAAAACAAGGCTTAATTCAAGATATAAATCTTGATAAATTTAAGAACTAGCTATGTATTAGACTATAGATAGGCCTCTGACTTATGACATTTTTGTGCCTCTCTTCCCCCCCCCCCCCTTTTTTTTTTTTTATTTTTGTT